TGTAATGTATGGGGATTAACATAAGAATAAAATAAATAAATAAATAAATAAATAAATAAAAAAGAGGCAATGATTAAATAAAACAGAAAAAAAAATGTCTCACAGACCGCACATTATTTTATGTGCTGCTAATTAATAAAACATCATTTTAAAAGTTCTGTATTTTATGTTTTCTTGCAGCTAGTCTCAATTCATGACATACCTGTACTTTCAGTCTGTCAATTGTTGACCAGTTGAATTGCTAATCACTGCCTGAACAAGCCTTAGTGAGACACAGAAAACAGAAAAGTCAATATTACCTTTCTTACTCCATCTGTCAACCCCCTTCAGTCACCATGATAACAACAGATCTACAGAAGCAGAGGAGGATGGAGCCAATGGCCAAGGCCACAGACACACCACAGCTATGAGCCGGACCACATGGACCTTATGAACTAGGACTGAAGGTGAGCGGTGGCTCCTTAATCTGAGAGTAACTGTAACAACGTCCTCTCACACTTCTCCTTCGCCTTGTATTTATTAACACACTTCATGTATGTGTTACTGCCATTGCTTCCCCGCCTGAATCCCCTCAACCGCCCAGGGCTCCCACCTCCCTGCTGGGAGTATTGGCTGCTAATTCTCTGGAGCTGATGGGAGTGTCTGGCCTGCAAGCTCACACCTCTCTCTCCCTCCCTGTCATCAGAATATGTCGGATCCACAGGGATTCTCCCTCTTGCTCCCGTTCTTCCTGCTTTTATCTCACTTTTCCATCTACCCTTTTCCTGAATTACGATCGTTCAACATGGAAAGGGGCAGCGATTATAGCTGTGTGTTAAAATCTTGTGGGACGCTGTTTCCAGTCCAGGTGCCCAGACCCCACCCAGAGCTCTTGGATCAGCATCTCCTTCTGCTGGTTCTTATGTAGTGAGCTTTGCCTCAGTCTGGGCTTGTTCACCTGGCATCCACTGTCCTGGGCATCAGAGTGCTCTCATCCGCCACTTCCAGCTGGGTGACTTGGGTGGAGGTACTTAATCTCCCTACACTTCCATTTTCCCATGTATAAAACAGATGCCAACAAACAAACAAACAAAAAAACCAGATGCCCCCCACCTAACAATATGATTCTAAGGATTAAAGCAGGTAATCATGAAAGCATGGTATCTGGATATAAAGTTTGTTAGGAAAGATTTACTCACTTATGAGAGAAACTAGACTGCAATGGTTTAAATAAGATGAGAGTTTATTTCTATCCCAAGGCCTAGGAGGTACACTAATCAAAGCTTGAAAGGCAGATCTGTGATGTCATCAGTGAGCTGGACTCTTTCCAACTCTCCAACCTGGCTTTCCCAAGGCTACCTCTTGGTCCAAAATGGCTTCTGGAGCTCCAGCAATCACATCCATGTTCCAAAAAGGAATATGGAGAAGGAAAGATAAGTCCCTCCTTGTTAAAGAAACTTTCTAGTGTTCCTGCAAAACTCTGCCACTTATACTGCAGAGGGCAAAACTTATTCATATAGAGGCATCGAGCTGTAAGGAAGCTGAGAAATATCTTTCACTCTAAGAAGCAATGGGTGTTCTGTTACTAAGAAACAATGGATAATGGATGGCCACACACAGTGCCCACCACAGAAAAGGAGCTTTGAAATCAGCCTTCTTGGATTCAAATCCCAGCCTCACCAGCTACTAGCTTTGGGCGAGTTACTCAGCCTCTCTGTGCCTCAGTTTCCTTATCTGTAAAGTGGTGATAATAACATTACATACTATAGCAGGTTATTACAGTGAAGTATACCTCAACATAGAGCAGAGCATCTGGCACACAGTGGGTGCTCAGTAAGTACAAGGGAACTATGATCCATTTCTACTTCCTCCTCAATTCTGCACCACACCCTTTGCTAATATCTGAGGAGTCAAAGAACAAAATCAGATTGGCCCAAAACTGTCTCTCCCCTGCTTGATTCCAGTGTTAGGATCCTCTCCTTGGCCCTGAAGTCCTTCCATTTGAGTCACTTTGCTGATTTGTGCCATGATGATGAAACATGGCTTCCAGAAGGCCACGCTCTCTTAAGTCCCTGCAAGGACCTCAATCTCTCCAGCTAAAGAATACCTAAGTCGCAAGCTGCTTGCTAACTAAATGCATGGCGCCTGGCTTGCAGAGGACCAGGAGACTTGCTTTGCTTGCTGTGCAAACCCTAGAGGTCACCGTTAGGACAGGAAGGTGGTAGAGTGGGTTAGCTGGTTCATGGTGTTTCTCTTGTGAGGGCCGGCTGTGCGTACTGATGTACACCAAACATGCAGGGGCCGCATTCGAGTCCGAAGCGGGCCAAGCTCCGTAGCTCCGGCCCACAGCACAGCATCTGTCCTGGTCAGTAGTGTCGAGTCCACACGGAGGAGCCCTCACACCTGCTGCAGGTGGATGGTGGGACTCACGAGTGGAAGGGAGAGCCCGTCAGGCTGGCTCTGGCTGGGTTCTGTGTGGGAAAATATTCTCAGTTTCTTTCTCTAACCGTAAACTGAGCACAGCAGAAGTTTTCCCTGAGGAGGCCCTTGCATTTGGGGCCCAGAGCTTCCGTTTAGGGCATGGCTCAGCCCATGGCTGGTCACGACACATTTGGTGCGGCTTACCACGTCTTGCTGTCTTTCATCTGTGAAAAGAGAATAACAGTACATTCTGTCACTTGGCCTGGCATTTTTTCCAGAGACAAAAGCTGAAAAGTAGGAGAGAAACCTTGGGAGAGAGCCTTCTATGCGGTTTTCAGAAAATTGCACTATGGGTTTTATTGGGTTAGCGACTTATCAACCACAGGCGATCCGTGACAGTGTATTACTTCCTGCCTCTGTGACAAGGATCTCAAGCTCAGGAAAACTAACAAAGGAGACCTCTGGCCTCTTCCGGACTTTTAATCTTGCCGTTCATGCTGGGAAGAGGTGCACCATCCACCAGACGCCCCAATGTTAAAAATGGGGATAACTAAGGACATGTGTTTTATGTTGAGTGGGAAGTATGCGGCAAACCACACGTGTGTCTGTATATTTCTGAATGAGGATATTAATAGCACGGGGAAACTAATCAATAATGTGATCTTTACCTAAAAAAAAAAAGTTTGGAATATTGTTGGCACACATCCCCTGAGAGTACTAAGGAAAGGAAGGAATCCAGTGTGGGGTATTTGATTCGCATGAGAGAGTTTTCTTAAATCTGTCTACCTGTCTGGATTGATGGAGAAAATCCCATGAAGATCCCAAGGGACTGTGTACATAAAGCACTTTGTAAACTGTGAAGCCCTATGTAGATGCTGAAGTTCACCCTTGGCTAGAGAGGATTTTACAAAGGAGGCGACACAGGTGGTGAGTGATGAGGAAGAGCCTTACAGGTGTGTGTGTGGGGGGGGCATGGGTGCTGCTGGGAGGCAGGTAGAGCATGGGCAGGAGAGATGGGGGCCCTCCTTACATCCGACTTGAGAAGTTGGTCTCCATTTTCCACACATGAGAATATCGGGGAGCCAAAGTGAGCAGCTTGTCAAAAGATGTGGTTAGTGGAACACCAGGCCTACGGCTCCTTCCCCTTGGCCTGTGAGGAAGTTTCAAGCTCCCAGTCAGACAGAGCCCAAGGTCAACCAGCTCCGGGCCTAAAAACTCGATTTTCTACCTTCTGCTTGGCCCTGGCAGAGGGGGTGTAAAGAAGTTTTTTGGGGGGAGAAAAGATCCTGGAGCTTTCTGCTCAAGGCTTTGGAAGCGGGCACCGAGGCCTGGAGGCCAGCAGGCCAGACCGATGCCTGAGGACCTGGAGGGCCTATTTCCCGCCTGGTTGCTAAAAAGAACTCAGAGAAGCAAGAGGACACAAAGCAGCAAGATACCATTAAAACAAGGGCAGAAATAAGGCAAAGCGAAGCTACAGAGAGCAAGAGGAATCCGGAAGGGAGGGTGTCGGACAAAATGCCTCCTGTAATTTCCTATGCCTTTGCTAGAATGAGCCATACACCTGGGTCTACCCTGTGTGATCAGGGAAGCAAAACCAGTCGCAGGATCGGGGGCATCCGTGGGTGACAAAAGCAGCAGCGAGAAGATTCATTGTCAGGCTGGTGGCAAAGCTAGAGCCAGACGACAGGGCTGGTTTCTCCAGAAAGCCACGAGGGTCCGACCGAGTCCTTATCTCCGCCGCAGCTTCCGAGAAGGCGGCCCAGGGGCCAGGCTCGGGGTACCTGGCGGG